TGAACAGCTGAACTGCAGAACTGCAGTCAGCTGAAGTAGCCTGCAGTGCTGCATTTAACCACTGCGCCACCTCTGCTCTCTCAGAAGGTTTTGAGTTTTAGACTTCTGTTTTAGGACAGACATGGATAAATTAAAACATGTGCAAATGAAAGTAGTTGGCTAGGGAATTCTGGGAGTTCAGGTCCACACGTCTTAAAGTTGCCAAGGTTAAGAAACATTGGTCTACATACAGATACAGATTAACAGAGTTGGAAGGGACCTTGTAGGTCATCTAGTCCAACCCCCCCCCCCACCCAAGCAGGAGATCCTACACCATTTCTGACAAATGGCAGTCCAGTCTCTTCTTGAAAGCTTCCAGTGATGAAGCTCCCACAACTTCTGAAGGGAATTCCTATTCCATTGGTTGACTGTTCTCACTGTCACAAAATTTCTCCTCATTTCCAGGTTGAATCTCTCCTTGTTCAGTTTCCATCCATTATTCCTTATCAGGTGCCTTGGAAAATAGTTTGACCCCTTCCTCTCTGGGGCAGCCCAATTCAAATATTGGAACACTGCCTGAGGAACATTAAGTGGCAGTGATTGTTTAGAATTTCTGACAGAAATACTCCCATCTCTTCTGCAAGATGACACAGATAAGACCAACGATGTAATAGTTATCACACATGCCCAACTCCTGACAGATACAGTCTTATCCATGTTTCTGTATGATAATAGCAGTAGCAACAGCAATAACACATAGACTTCTATACTGCCCCGTAGTGTTTTAGAACACACTGAGCTGTTTACAATGTCAGTATATTGCCCCCCCCCAAAAAAAAATCTGGGTTCTCATTCTACTGACTTCAGAAGGATGGAAAGCTGAGGCAATCTTGAGCCGGTCAGAATCAAACTCCTGACTTTGGGCAGAGTTAGCCTGCAATACTGCATTCTAACCACTGTGCCACCAGGGCTCAATCACAGTGGACATTTCCTTGGTTTGATCCATTGCATTTTGCTTCCCATTAGCACCAATGATACCAATCATCCACAATAACCAAGACTACCATATGCTTACATCATACTTCTCAGGCACAAAGGCACATGGAGGCATTTTGGGTTGGAGGCAGGAAGAGTTTTTCAGTTCTTGATACTGATGCACCTCTAACAAAAGGAAATGTAGATTAATACACTTATCAAAGCCCGTCGCAATAGCCATCTATCTGGAATTAATTTCACAGCAGATCATTTTCATCTTTTATGACAAAGACATTGCCCGTAATGGATGAAATGTCATCTCGGATTTTGTGAATGGAGCTGAAATTGCACTTCATGGACCAGGAAATGAAATTGAACAGAATTCTTAAACAAATCAGAGCTTTGGATTTTGTGGAATATAGTCAAAGGAAGTCCTGGGGTTAAGTCCACCTCCATCCTCCAGGAACAATTTTCGTATCATTTCCTTAATGGAGTTTCATTGGGCATCCTCTGCTCCACCCTCACACCTTCCAAATGTATAGGATTACAGTTCCCATCCTCCCCACTGCCATGAATAAATAGTATTGAGAGAGGCAAATTGTATCTATTGACACAAAGGTGCTCACATTCTCCTTCATTAATGTCAGCCAGAATTCTTGATTCCCTCAACTCTATTTTTTTTTTTTAATTTGGCTGCTCTAACAAAGTAAACAAAAAACATTCTGGGAAAAAGCAAAGATCAACCAACATCACTGTGTAAATTGTAAAGAAAGCTACAGAATTTATAGAATTTATAGATCATAGGAAGTTATCTTGCTCCAAGGGATCTTGATTTCACTTACAAGTTAGCTTAAAACAGGTCAAAGCATCCTGGAAGAGAGAGAGAGAAGAGCAACTGCACCAGTTGGCTTTCCACACCTCTTCCCCTCTTTTCCAGCAGCCCGCACCCATAATGCAATGCGCATGGGTGCATAAGCCCCTGCCCCCCGTGCAGGCGTGTACATCTCCCACATGCGCCCCGTCTCCGTGCACGCGCAGCAGAGACCGGAAAATCAACTGGCCAGCGGGAGGCGTGCGCGCATGCGTGTTGGAGCTGATCTGGGATGATGGCTTGCATGCCGGCAGAGAGGGCTTGGCATGCCACCTGTGGCACATGTGCCGTAGATTCACCATCAGGCTTTCAAGGCTGGTATCTTTGGGACAGTTTTGGCTTCAGGGCTTAATGCCCCAGGTGTAGAGAACAGATTGCCTGATATTTTAATGGGAGACACCAGCCCTCACCAACATGCACCAATCAGAATCCAGCTTGGGTAAAGACCAATCAGAAGTCAGGTCACCTGCCTCTAAAGACTGCTTCATTGCCTGTGATCTGCATAGCACAGTGATAGCTAACCTTTTTGTCGTCGCGTGTCAAAAGCACGACCCCCCTCTGCACATGCGCACACACCACCATGCCCCATTTTATGCCTAGCAGACCTCAATGCAGCCTCCTGGGACCAAAAACAGGCCATGGGGGTGAGGGGAAACACACCAGCTCCCCACCCTCTGCACGTCTCCTGCATGCGCCCCCAGCCCCCCCTGCGCACGCATGGCAGAGACCCAAAAATCAGGTGGCCAGCAGGAGGAGCACACGTACGGATGGTGGAGCTGAGCTGTGGCGACGGTTTGTGTGCCCACAGAGCAGGGATGGGTTCCTGCCAGTTCTAACCTCTTCTATAGAAGAGGTTCCACAAATCTACCATGCCGTTTAGAACCAGTTCCAGCTCCCTCCCCCCACCCACCGCTCACTAATTGGCTGGCTCACCAATCGCTCCGCCTGCTTCTAAGAGTCCTACCTAAACCTTAAAGTCTTAAAGCTGTCAAGTTTGAACACCCCTGGGCTTTTTTTCCCTAAAAGGTTAGGGGTGCAAGGGTCTTGTAACTTGGCAGCTTTAAGACTTTAAGGTTTAGGTAGGACTCTTAGACGCAGGCGGAGCGATTGGTGAGCCAGCCAATTAGTGAGCGGTGGGTGGGGGGAGGGAGCTGGAACTGGTTCTAAACGTCATGGTAGATTTGTGGAACCTCTTCTATAGAAGAGGTT